TGCTTCAAAAAACCTCTAGTAACATTGATTTGGCAAATGTAGCATAGTTTAGGTATCTGTAACTTTCCATGTCCCTTCTATTAAAGCAGACAAATCATTAGTATTTTGTCCCATTATGTTGAGCTAGCAATGAAGCTGTCTGTAAATCCATTGATAATCTTTTGCTGTTGCGCATATTTGCTTGTATAATTTCAAGAACGCTGTATGATTAGGAGCATGTCAGAGATAATTCATGCACTATATCAACGTTTAAGAGTGTTGTAATGGGTGTATTTTTCTTTGCTTGCTCTCCCATTTCTTTCACCATAGTTTCTTGTTGTTTTCTTGCCATACTTCTCTCTTCCAACCTCTTGCATAAATTTGCCTTGCATCCATTCATATAACTTAGAAAATATACCCAATTTCTAATAGCTAGTGGACTGTGCTAATAAGGTGAGACACTCCACCGGTCATCAGGCAAAGCTGATGTGAAACCGGTGCCCTCCAGAACGCGCAGGGCTGCAGCCTGTGCCTTCCTCCTGTGCTTAGTTAGAAGCTCAGTTTGGCAGCAATAAATGCTGCAAACTGCTCCAGTTCCCCATACTAAATCTTTAGACTGTTGCAAAGGTGGCAATGGGATCTTTCTACTCATGCCCTTTCCTGTTGCCTGCTGTGGTTTTTTTTTTCCTCCTCATTTTATAGCTTCAGTGCGTCTCTACTCACCGTTTGCTCAAGCAGCGGGACAGATTTGACCTGATTATTTTTGACAGGAGTTCTGAGTAACAGCAGCGATACTGACCCAGCCTTGTGCTAATTTTGATCCTTTTCTTACTGCAGCTATGGCAGCAGCTGCTTTGTGCTCCTGCGGTCTGCTGGCATGCTGAGGAAGAGAATACAACATTGCTTTTATAACCATTCCCATCTCTGTAAAGCCACGTTTGTAGCCGCAAAAGTAGGTACTACTTGCCAGCGGAAGCTTGGATTCGTCAAAGTGGAAGTGTTAATTCAGAAAAAATGGTTGTTCACTAATATTTGCTTTTGGCTGAGTTTTGTGGAGGCCTAGGATTTCACTGAAATCTACTAAAAATTCTAGTACCGAAAAGCAGGGGGGAGTTATGATTTTAAGCAGTTATGATTTTAAGCTAAAACCATGTGGATGCTGGACGTGTGAATTAGTCTCATCAGTAGACCATAGTTCATCATCTGTGCTGCACTGTTGTTTTTGATCACTCCCAGCTGTTCTTTGGTTCGTCGATAGCCTCAGAAGAACTCTGCGGGTCTGGGCCATGTTCTTATTCCTACTGTAAAGCTACTCATACACAGCGGAGAGAAAAGTGGTAACTTTTATTCACCTTCCAACAGTCACTTCTCGTTATGCTTCTTGTCAGACAAGCAATGCAACCTGTCATCCATCTGTCTGCCAGGATGGTTATAAATGCAAACAAGCTTTTGGGCATACAAGTATTTAAGACCCTGGAAGGTATGAGTATGTTTCCAGTGTCTGTAGTCAATTTACTCTAAGCCAGGCAAACCGTTTGTATGCTTTGCAGGAATAGCCATGAGCTGGTTGAAGGGATGATAAGAGCCCGTAGAGCTTGAGCATGCTTCTTTCTTGTCTAGTTTCAGCGATGCAGTGCGTTAGCAGTGTAATTTGAGAAATAAAGTCTACTCTGGTTATTTTCCCTGGCATGGTGTATTGAGCTGGAAGTAAATCTTTAAGACTTCTCAACTGAGCAGAAAAGATTTATGGCTTCCAAGTTACTAGACGCGATAGATCTCTATTGTGTTTTTGATGGGTCATCCAGTTAAAATTTCAGCTTTACGGTAGGATCACTTCACGTGTGATGACTTGCTTAGACAGCTACCTCAGGCAAGACCTTTTGGAAACTGGGCTTTTCACATCCCTTTTTACCTTACCACCTCAACAAAACCCGCCATAAAAAAGGTTTGGGGAGTTCTTGGGTAAACATCAGTTTCATTCAATTATTTCCGTCTTCTCTGTATCTCGTATGCATCAAATGTTGATGTCCGCACTGAGCTCCTCTGAAAACTGGAGAAGAAAAACTTGAACGTTACCAATTCCTTGTGCTCTTGCTTGATATTCTATAATTCAGCATATGGGATTTTTTAAGGGTGTTGTTTAATGTCTTCTGATAGAAATCAGTGAATACCAGGAATGTTCTTGGAAAGTTTCCTTTTTTTAATGAATCCTATTATGCACAAAAATAAAAATAATTGATGCAGCTATGATGGGAAATATTTTATCCTCTGTATGCTCTTGGGGTTTCCTTGACCATTGTTAGCAGTATTTTTTTTCCAATGAAAAGCAAACAAAAGGAATAGATGATTAAAATGCGCATATCGTTTGCCGTGCAAGAATTCTGGCGCTTAAAATTGGTTGAAGCCCTATAGTGTCAGTGGATTACTCTGAACTGCTAAAATGGTGATAGTTTGGATGGGCCGGGCGACTTTCCTAAGACTCAAATAGTGCCAGAACGAGGGTGACGCACTAAGCTGAACTTCCTTATTCTCTCTAGGTTCAATGTCAGTTCTGCGAGTGGCCGTGTGAATGCAATAGGGGAGGTTTTGAAAAGTGCAGCCAACCTCTGAGGCGTCCTTCTAAGTCATAGCAATTTATAGAAAATTGCAAATCCTGATTAGAAGTTGCTGAAACTTTAGTTGGTCACCTCCCCCACCGATGTGGAAGTGTTAATTAGACTCTAAGATTTAGAGTGTGAATTTATATAAGTAAAACACTATTACCGCTTCACTTAGGCTGGGAGGGTGCTTTTTTTGTCAAGTGCATATTGACCCTATAAATTTGTGTTTTGTTCCTACTCAAGGAGCTACGTACAGAAAGTTTTATCATCTCTCCCTGAACCACAGTAGCAGAGCAATTCCTTGAGGGCGTTTCATGGACCTCCTAGAAGCCTCATGGATGCACTTGTGAATTTTCTTAAGATGTATTTACGTGTCTTGAGCTAGCAATGAGGAATCAATTCTTATCTCATGCATTGAACTTTACGTTCAGGTGTATTGTCATGCCCTTTTCTTTGCTTAGCTTTTATGTGCCAAGCAAACTCAGTGGCTTTGTAAAAGAGATTTTTTTTTCCTTGTCATTATTATTGCTTCAACAATTTAATTTTCTTATAGTTTTAAAAGTGTTATGTACTCTAAGATGCAGAATAGTTTCTTTGCTCCACCAGAAATGCCCCTCAATTCATTGAATAATCGAGTATAAATTCTCATACTTTGGAGACTTGCAGCTTGAGTCGGATTTTATTTCTCATTGAGAACTGGGGCGTTTATGTTTGCAAAATAGCAAAGCGTGCATTGTGTCTTATCAGGAGATATTCGCTTGATCTTTGGCAGAATTATTTATCCAGATGGAGAAATCTTTTAGGCGGGTGGGAAAATGTAGATAACATCTATCGGTCTGAAAACTGCACTGCTTGTTAAGGTGCACAGCAGTGCAGTACGGTTCATGCCTTACTAGTCTGGCTCTCCCGTCGAATAATTTGCTCTTTGCAAGTTGAGCTGCAAAGATCGTGGGTGCTGACTAGCTGAACTTTGACTCTGGTTACGCTGCCTTGCTCACAAATATGCAATGGGTAATTCCTCGCGAAACGTGACCGTGGCCAATGTGTGCTGTCGCTGTAAAGAGAAGTGACTGTTCTGCCCGTCTGTTGCCCCGTGCAGTATAGTCCTCCTGGGCGTTCACTCCCAGCATAAATCACTCTACGCTGCGTGCCATGTAGTTATTTTCTCGTGGTATGATAAGCACGTGCATTTTCTAGAGCCTCTTCAGTACCTTATTTCCATGCCTTCTTATTTAGTTTGCAAGTTTACAACTTCAGAGCTATTTTAAAGGAGTGAATTTTTTGATGTGAATTCCTCCCGCGATTAGAGGTTTGAGCCCTCTTTTGTTTTTCCTGATTTTTGGTGTGATGATTTAAAATGTTCTCTGATAAGAAACGTTAGGAGAAATGGAAACTGTTAGGCTAGTTCAGCTTCTGTAGCTGGGTGACTTTAACTTAGGCATTTAATTTATTAAGGGCACTTTAATTTGTCATCTGTCCCCGCACTTAGGACAGATCTGCTTATCTAGATTTGCAAATCTTGGGCGGTAGGTAGGATTAAGCACTTGCGGGGAGTGGAGGGGGAAGGCACAGGTAACCTGTTAGATTAAATTGGTAAATACATGGGGCATACAAGTCGGTGGTGTAGTTGAATCACATTATTGCTCTATGTTAGGTTGGTAAATTCTTTACAGCATACTCTTGTTAAAAATTACAGTTGTTTTATTATTTTAATTGGTCAGACATTTATTTATTCTAAAGACAGCTTATCGTATATCTAGATTTGCCTTTGGGGTTTTTTTTGTTTTTTGATATAGCGGAGGGAAAAACAAGTAGTTGGGAGCGGGGAATGGACGTGGGGAAACAAATGAGAGGAGCTGCTTCAACTGGCGCTCGAAAAATGTCTGTGTAATTGCTGCTTGCAAAGAGCCTTGCTTGTAAATCTATCAGCGCTTGATGGTTTTAGTGTGTTTTTGTAGTATATAATTATGAGCTTTCCTTGTTTCCCGTCTTTTTGATATACGTTATTCCCTGTAAATCTGATATAAGAGATCTGACTACAGAGTTGCCATTGCTCTTGTTAAACCAGATTACTACTTAGTATCTTTTCTGTCTTTTAGAAGATTGTATTCTTTTTTGTCCTTTTCTTGGTTCTATCTAGATGGTCTGTAACAGACTAAATACAGAGCCTCTACTTGTCTGTGTTTTCTGCTAATAGTAGAGTGCTCATGGAAAAGATCGAAACATTTACTCAGTTATTAAAAGTCATCGCTAGTTTCAGGGAAGCAGATGAACGGATTTTTGCCAGACTCTAATTGTTGGGTTAGTTTAGTGTTTTTTCTGAGAGGCTTGTATTTAAGTTTTAAGATGGCTCATCTGTGCTGCAGGATCTCTCTTTACTATTTGCAGAAGGTTATAGGTGTATCCAGTGACTTAGATATCTAAAAGAGAAGACGGGAATCCAAAGGGCTTGGATCTGGCATTGAACGCTCACACCTCCTTAGATAACAGCGCGGACGCAACGGGATGCGGCTGAGGGGTGCTGGAAGATCACCGAGACACGTTAGAGAACGGGATGGTGTGGTATGAGGGAAGGCACCAAGTCCCAAGTGGGAGCTCAGCTCTAAGGTATTGGTGGACAAAAAAAGAGGAGAAAATGGAAAGAGACCACTTTAGATTTGAGGTGGACAAAGTTAAAATTAAAACTGGAATATTGGTACGCTTTAGTTTCTCTTCTCTGGGTTAAGTAAGACCGTATGGATGTATGGTGGTATTTCTCAGTCATATCTAGGGTTCTGTCCTCATTACATTGCTGGAGACTCAGGGACATATTCAGAAATACGCCGTAAGCTTAATACGTAAGAGTAGCAAAGCCGAAGTGAATTGAACTTAAGTAATGTCTAATACAGTTCTTCTTTCTGTTCTTTTTGTCTCTTTCCTAACTATGCTTTCCAGAAAAAAAGGTCAGAAAATGATAGGATTTCTGATGTAAAGTAGCATTAAAGGCAAGAAGTTTTTCAACGATTCTTTATACATGATAGAGATGCAAATAGTGAACGCAAGAGTTTCTTTCTCTTCGGCATGTTTTTGTAGCCCTTTATGATAACATTAAAAAGGGTGGACGTGGTTTACATTTCTTGGTATTTTTCTTTTGCAGTCTTTCTGTTGTACAGCTATAAAATTTGGTTTTTTGTCCTTGATAGTCTAAAAAGAATTTTATCAGCAACATTTATTTTAAAAAAACTGCAGCGACATTAGAAAATCTAATGAAAATGAAGTTAAATTCTAATGCTAATGAAATTCTAACAGGTACTCAAAGCATGTTGAAATATGTTTAGGAAAAAAGCCATTTTTTTTCTTTCACGGAATTTTAAGCCTAGGTGTTTTTGGTCCTCCAGATTTAGAAGTTCTCTCTGTGTGTCTTATAAGTTTCTTTATTTTTATAATGCATACTTCACTGAACTTAAGTTGTCATTTCTATGTCACTGTGAATAACCTGAAATCTTAACTGAGAACAACTTTCTTATTATTAATTTTCAAATAAATTCAAATGCGAAAGACCCTTCTGATGGATCTAATAGTACTCTGCTGCAATTCAGGCTGATGAAGTAGGGCTTTTTGTCTTGTTTTATAAGTGAAACTGTGGTACCTTTTATAATAGTAAATAACAAGTCTCAGATTGATTACATTTTCAAGAACGCAGATAACACTTTAAATGCTGATTCTCCATGGAAGTAACACCTTTTCTTGGCTTTTTTGTTTCTGTGGGAGGCGTATGGATTCAGCTGGATGTTTTTTAGGAAGATTTTTTTCCCTCTAACATAACACACGTTTTCTTCTTTGCAGGGCGCCAATGCCTCTGCTTTGGAGAAAGAGATTGGTCCTGAGCAGTTCCCAGTGAATGAGCATTACTTTGGCTTGGTCAATGTAAGTGAATTTTCTTTGCTTTAAGTGCTGTTTTCCTATTTATATCCTAGTGATAATAAATTCAATTTGGAATAAATTCAAAATCCTAATTTTGAATTTAACAGGATTCTCTTTCAGAACTTTTTCTCTGGGCACTCCTGACACAAAGTGGGAATGTGCAGAGACACCGCATCCTGCAATGTGATGCTATGCCTTGTCGCTTATAACCAATATATACCTCTTATTTTAAATACTAAAAAAGAAGTATATTTTTAAATTAAAAAGTCTTTGAGATAAACCTTCATACTTGGGCACATTTCCAGTTATAGGATTATAATACAAAGCTGAAAGGAACATTAATAAAGTGCAAATGCTGTTAGAGCGTGGTTTCTGCTCCTTTTAGAGCAAAGATATTTGATGTTACACTGATATTCAATGTATGTAAGCCTTGAAGTTTTTAAACCAAAACGCATTACTTCTCTAAAAACATACTACTTGTGGAATTCATGGATGTTCTTCTACATGAAGACATAGCCAAGAGATAAATGACGTTTACTTGGCTGATAATTTTCTAACATGTAGAAATACCCCCTTTTTTACTGCCTCGTATACCAGTGAGTCCTTTCAAAATGATTTTTTTTGATCTGTCAGTTTGCGTACATCTGACTTGACTAGGATCTGTTGGGCAATAAGAGTTGTCTGTTTAAATTAACCATGGAAAGAATGGAGCATTGGTGCAATATCGCCTCTGCTTCTGGAGGAGAAAGGCGGCTGTTGCTTTTGTTGCCAATGATGCTATATAAGAAACGAGATATAGAAACAGTGATTCTGTATCATCCCATTTATGATGTGAAAATACATTTTTGGCAGAACTCGCTATAAACCCAGATACTGTTTCTGTTTACTGGTCGTCTAGGCCCATTTCATGGAAAGCTGAAGAACAAAATGATCTACCTTTTGACATACCAAGTAAGGTTAACACAGCTACTAAAGTGTTATTTATTGCAGTGCATTAGAATTCATTTCATTGATTTCTGTGTGTCTCTAGCAGTTTGTGTTCTCAGACACCAAGCTATCTAAAGGCATTGAATTATGTTCCTTAAGTATGGTGTTAATGGCCATTCCAAAGCTTCTGAGGTTTGCACCATAATGAGAAAAATGGAAGGCATCTCCAATTGCAACATAAATAGCATAGTGATGAATACTGTGAAGAAAAAAATAGTATTCTAAAAATAACCAGAGTTACTTTACCCACATGCATACTCTGTTTAGAAGGACAAAATATGACTAATAGTGTTGTGCTTTATTTCTTGCGATGAACTTCTCGGGGATAATCATTTTCCTGCTGCTGTTCTGGAGAACTTTTTCCTGAGTTATTCCTAGCTCTTTAATGAGCTGAAACGAATTGGAGAGCTTTAAAGAATGTAATTTCATGCCATCCAAATGCAAGCCTGCTGCGCAAAGCAGTCCCACTTTACTCCTCGTACAGGTATTGCCACTCATGTTTCTCCTTTACATCAGGACTGGTACCTGTGCTGAGCACACGCTAAAGGTGCTGAACCCAGGACCGGTTTTCTGAAGGGCTAGATTTCTCTTTGGATCAGTGAGCTGAACCAACTTGCCTGCAGTCAAACGTTTGCTAGAGCCACCGCAGGGTCTATGTTGCGGGGGGAAGGGTCTGACCGTTTCTTTTGACATCCTGTCGTTAAAATGGAGTGTGTGTGGTGTGAAACAGCAGTGTACCAGGGATGGAACAATGCTTTTAGTTCTAGAATTTGGTCTTGCTTTTCAATTTTAAAAACTTTTGCCTTAGAGTGAGTCTTCAAACTTTAATTTTACATGGAAAGCGTAACGTTTTTTGAAATTAGATTATATTGACTCTAAATACAATCAGTTTTAAGCAAAAAAATTTTTGGCACCTGTTTGAAAAACTTATTTATACCAGAGAAACCGTGACAAAAAGAGTTGTTAAAACTTACGTGTTGGTACCTGCTTTTTCCTTTGTACTTTGGGTCACGTTAGACCATATACACGTGAATTGTCTGTTTGATCTGTGCTTGTCGCTCTAGGATTGCAGATATTCAGCCTACTGAGACTTGCCATGCCAACCTCTCTTTTTCAGCCTGTTTTTTCTGGGTTTTTTAATCCAAGACAAATGGTCACATCCCTCTTTTTCCAGCAAAATTAAGGTCGTGACTGGGAAGACCTGACTACGTTGTATTTCCGAATGCAAGCAGATTGAAGTTAAAATTGTAACGCTGCTGTCTAATAACTTTGTTTATTTTGGAGAACTGTCTATAATGCAGAGAAGGGTAAATCAGTAGTTGATTTACTCAAAAGTTTGAGCGATTCAAGGCCTTGCGAAAGTTAGTAGGATTTTGTTCTAACATTGAAAAAGCCAGAATTTCTGAATTAAATGCGTCACATGGTCTTTTTGCAAAGTACGTGGCGTGCGGTGACATCTAAAATGTGAACAGGCAAGATAGGGATCGGAGGAAGAAAAGTTCTTCCCCGTTACTCCGTTATGTAGCGGTAGGAACAAGCAAAGCAAGCTGAAATACTGTTTAGAAGGACATTTGTAAAATTTAAAACTTTCCATAAGGTATATTATTTGTCATATCACTTCAAGACTGCTACAAAGCCTCCTGCATCTGACGGTCAGAAGTTTTTAAAACTATTTGGACTGAACTTTAACTCTTCCGTTTGGTTTTCAGAACGTCTCGGTGGGTAACATCAAAGCTGTACATGTACAACTGATGAATTTCTTACCCTTTGACGTGTTTTCTCCGTAAATACAATCCTAAAATCTCACCGACTGCTTACTTTGTAAACTTTTTGACTTAAGGAGCACCATGACCTCCCAGGTTTTTTTAACAAGGTTAATTACTAGTTTCTTGTGTCTCTTAAAATTATTTTCTGGGATTATTATAGACAAATATATTAGATATGATTGTTCCAAGACAAAGCGTCTACTCATGACAGATCTTCACTCATTTTCGTACTTCTCTTGCTTATTTTGTCTTGCATGCAAATCTAATTACTGTGATGTTTATTCCATTTTTTAGGTCACTAATAAACATGAATTCGGTTCTGTCCTAATTCACATGCTCAGCTCGTATATTTGTTTTGCTCATGTGAATAAGTTTTGACTGTTGTTCCGTGTTGTTTGCATATGGTAAAAATTAATGTTAATGTATGTGTAAGGCTGTAACCTTTTGAGCTGTGCGAGTTAAACTCTTAATTTTCTGTTTCTCTCAGTCAGCAAACTGATTATTAACTTGCAGTCATTCTGCTACAGTAATTATACCGAATTCTGGTGAACGCTAGTGTCCGTATTCTCTGAGTACTGCTTAATATGATTATCCGTGTTCTGTGATCAGATTATTTGTATGTTTATTTTGTTTATTTTAAATATTTTGCCCTCAGTGCGCTTAAGATACAGAAGCGCGTTACCAGAGTACCTGGGGACTGGCAAACCTAAAATCCCAAAACCCGAAAACGTTTTTGAAGCAACAGCATTGTACAGTACAGCTGCACAATAAATTGCAGAGAGGAAACTCAAGCATGCTGTATTTCTTCTAGATGATACGCAGCTTTAGGTGATTTTTCAGTGGTTTAAGCGTTAGTCCTTGTTAAGCAATCTGGAACGCCGCCTCTGGAAGCGGTGTTATCGCTGGCCTCCTCTCCGCAAAATGACGCTGCCTTCAGATAGGGCAGATGTCAAACAGCTGCTCTTTGCATTTGCCTGCATCATGTGCTTTTCATAAGATTTCATTGTAAACAGAAAGTATTTAACATGCACCTTGCTAGCTAATCTCAAAAAGCTGATTTTGCTATCTGACGCAGGCAAATCTAAAACACGAGTTAATGCCTTGAGCTCCTGTTACCGTAATGTAATTGAGAGGCAGAGATGCGGTGATGCTGATGGATGCTGTCTGCCCGCTCTCCTGTTTGCCTGTCCCTGAGTTGCGCTGTGTCGCTGGCACCTTTCTGCATCAGTGGCAGCAGGATCCGCCCTGCCCAGGCCTGGCAGCCTGCTGTGTCTCCAGAAGTTTTGATTCTGTGCTGAGCCCTTAATTGGCTTTTGCTTATGTCAGTGGTTTCCCGTTTTATTTGTGCGTGTCACCGTTGTGACTACTGTCTTCCCTTCCTTTTCTTGCTGTTTCTGGTTGTGATGAAACAAGGACGAGTCTTTTGGTGAACGTCTACTAGTATTTCCCCCAAAAATGAACTTTGGGAGATGATTTTCCCATTTGTAATATACGGCGTTTTTCATGAGCGACCTCTTTCTTTTGTTTCTTTTTAACAGACCTAATATGAAAATGTTTGTTTTCCCTTTGTTCTGTTTTAACCAGTTCGGCAATACCTGCTACTGCAACTCAGTCTTACAGGCACTTTATTTTTGTCGTCCATTTCGGGAAAAAGTTTTGGCATACAAAGTGCAGCCCCGAAAGAAGGAAAGCCTCCTGACATGCCTCTCTGATCTCTTCAACAGTATCGCTACGCAAAAGAAGAAGGTGGGAGTCATCCCACCCAAGAAATTTATTTCCCGATTGAGGAAAGAAAATGGTAAATGAGTAAATGAAATCCTCATGCAGATGTAAACGTTGAGTATTTAAGCATATTAAAATGTGGCCACAATTTTCTTTTTAAGTGAGTCCAAACCGTCAAGTTTTAACAGATTTCTGAGAGATTTTTGAACTCCAGTTTGTGGTGTGAATTTCACCACCTCTGTGGCATAGGAAGAGCGATTATATCAGAATTAACTGTGCTCTGTCATAGAAGGATTATCTAGATGTCTTTGTGTACCGAAATCTCAGTGCTCCAGTTATTCTGTGTTGGCATAATGAACTCTGGAGGTCTGCTGCAAGTCTGCACGCTGTGGGTTGTGCCAGAAGTTATCAGGTGCCAGTTAGACCTCACACAGTTGGTCAAAATTAAAGTCTCTGAGGAGACTTATGTACTTTTAACCTCCTTTCTTACATTTGTGGTAGTATGAATACTTTATGATGAGAATTGGCGGTTATTTCCCAGGGCTAGTTTGTGAAGAAAAGTGCTATATGTTGATTTATCATCTCTGTTTGGACTCGAAAAGGTAACAGACTTATGTTAATGTGGGAATTTTTGCGCCTTGGTGCTGGACTTAATGAACTGACGGCCCAAGGCAACGCATATGAATTTCTTTATTTCTCCCCTTCTCACCAAGGGGAAGAAAGGCACGGTTTTCTTCTGTTCCAAGCAGTGCCCGAAGTTTCGTTTATATAATCTTTCAGCTATCTGTCTGTTTGTTGCAACCTGAGAAATAAGTAAGAGTAATCTAATATCCGTTGCTAGGACCACAGCAGCGTACCCCAAAATTTTGAGAGTCATATAATAGAGTAGAGAAGGGGAAAGGGCATGCACAGTAACTTGATATTTTAAAGCATCTGTGTTTTTCCATTTTTCCCTGTTCTTTTCCTTTCCAGAATTATTTGATAATTATATGCAGCAGGATGCACATGAGTTCCTAAACTACCTACTTAACACTATTGCTGATTTACTACAAGAAGAGAAAAAGCAGGAGAAGCAGAACGGCAAACTCCAGAATGGCAGCATCGAGAGTGAAGAAGGAGACAAGACTGATCTGACGTGGGTCCATGAAATCTTCCAAGGAACACTAACCAATGAAACCAGATGTCTTAACTGTGAGGCTGTACGTTTAAAACAAAACAAAACAAAATCTCTTTAGATTTTTTTCACAGGTTCTGGATCGTTTTCCCTAATACTAAGCACACTTTTTCATTTATTAGGATAGATGAATTTGCACTCTATTAAAATATGGAGCATAGCGTATTTTATGACTATCACCTCTATGTTCAAACCAATGCTCATTAAGGTATGTTTCTCAGAAAAAGCATAGTGTTTTTTCTATTCCTCCTCCCTGTTTCCATCAAGGCAGTCTGCACCTGGCTGATATGAGCTGCCTTTTTGTCTTCATGTTATTTTTTGTGTCAGTGATTGATAGTTTATGTTGTGTTTATACATGAGAGTTACTCACTATTTATTTAACTCTGGGATTAACTGAATTTAATGATTCTTAAAATGAAAGTCTGTGCTTCTTGGTGCTGATCCATAGCCACTCTATTTGACAGCAAGAGAAGTGCCAGAAGTCTAAAATTAGAAGAACCACACCACCTTCAGACCAGGAATTTGTAGTTAGTCATGTGCTGCTTCGATTAAATAATATTTCGGAAAGAGGGAAAAAAAAAGAAAAGGGAAGAAAAACCACACAGATGGGGAGAGAAGAAAAGAGAAATGATTACAAATGAAGCGACTACTCTTGGCATTTTAAATCTAGAATTATGGCTATATGGTGAATAGAAATTCTAAAAATGGCATTAGTTAGATTCTGTCTCAAGAATTCTGAGATTAAACGTGCCTGTTCCACAAATGGAAAGATGTTTTCTAACCCATCCTAGGATTTAGACGAAAACCCAGCTGTTTCTGCGTTTCATATAAGATCTGCTGTTAGACTCCGAAATGCAGCAGAAAGCTATATTAGTCTTCAAAACAGTGGAACAGTTAAAGCTTCTCCAGCTCTGAGAGCTCTCAGTGGTAAGAACTTGGTTTTGCCAGTGAAGTAAGCAGATGTGTCTTGAAGGCTCGAGAGGAGAGATATGTTTTGCAAGGAAGGCTTTATTTTCCATTTTTTTCCTGTTTATTTTCTTTTTTAAGATATTCCATTTTGGATTATAACTACACATCAGATTATTTGTTCACTTTTAGTTTTCTTCAAGAAAGGACCTCTGTGTGTATTTGTAAAAATCACACATCTGTCTGTTTGCAAGCAGGACATTGCACTATTCCAGGAGCTTAAAGCAATTCTAAAACCTGCCAGATTCCAAACTGTTATGAAATATTTCTTCTTATTTTTTTTTTTCAAGGTTAGTAGCAAAGATGAAGACTTTCTGGATCTATCGGTTGATGTGGAACAAAATACATCAATTACACACTGTTTAAGGTAAATGGAAATGTTGTGGGGTGGAGGAAAAAACTGCACTTGGTCAGAAGGGAAGAAGCTGAGTTAGTTGCTCTGTTGTGCAACAGTTGCAGAGTGTTGTTGATGTTATCTTTATCATGCTTATTGAGTCTGCTGTTTTCTTGGTGTTTACTAAAAGATAACCCAGACTTTGGCTAGTCAATGGCTGGTGGTTATAGGTTCTAAAATTTAATGTCTAGCACCAAGTAAAATATGGAATGGAAGCAAAACCTATTACCTTATTGCTGTGTCTTGTTTGATTCCTCTCTAGAAACTAGTTGGTGTTCTGGAAAGAGTCGTTTCCAGCTTTTTCTAGTTGAGCGTTGATAGCACAGCCCAAGACTGAGACAAATGCAGCTTAAAAGCATTTGGGAGATATGAGCGATGTGAATAAGAGGGATTTCATTTTCTGTGTGTACTGTTTTCTCGGCCGTATTAGGAATAACTTTAAACGGGATGGTCTGACTGAATATTCCTGCCTATTTGACTTTTTTTTTTTCGCCTTCATTTCCACAGAGGGTTTAGTAATACTGAAACTCTATGCAGTGAATATAAATACTATTGTGAGCAGTGCCGCAGTAAACAGGAAGCACAGAAGAGGTAAGGTTTAAATATTTGGGCTAATGTAAATGTTCTCTTAATATATGAGTCAAATGTGAAATCAGTAAAAAGATGCAAGACTACTTAGGTCTGTGTTTGGCGGGGAAGGAGGGTAAGGAAAAGTATCTCTATGGAGAAAACAGGTAACTGTAGCAACCTTACCGGAGAGAAATGGAGGGGTTAATTTAATATTCCTCTCTGTGGTGCTTCGAGACATACTTTTTCTCGCCCATTAGCGTTAATCAGCTCAAAGCCACTGAAGAGAATCCTCCCTGCTTTCTCCGAGCACTATATGCAAAAATCTTACTTGGCAGGAGCTAGAGCGCCAAGACGGAGATTTATTCCATCCCCTTCTTTCCCTTGATATGATGACAAACAGCTGTTCTGCAGTCAGATATCAGTTACGTTATTAATCTTTCCAAGTAAATGTTGCCCATTCTCACCAAAACATACATGAGAAAGCAGCCTTTTAAAAATCTTCATCAGCTTTTTAGATGGGTTTTAAGAAGCTTCTTCAAGACCATATTGAAATAGTTTTAGAACAAAGCTCTGTTTTAGGTGATCTGCTAATACCTTGTTCTTTGTTTAACCTATTTTTATGGTTCAGAATGAGAGTGAAAAAGTTGCCCATGATTCTAGCTCTGCACTTAAAAAGGTTCAAATACATGGACCAGCTGCATCGATATACCAAACTCTCCTACCGTGTAGTCTTTCCCTTGGAGCTCCGGCTCTTTAACACTTCAGGAGATGCTACAAATCCTGACAGAATGTATGACCTTGTGGCTGTAGTTGTTCACTGTGGCAGGTATGTCTCTGTGCTTTCTGGACCTTAAAAGCCTTTCCTTGACGTTTAAAGCGAGTCGGTCATTCGTATGCTACTGTATGACAGTACAGTGGCTGACAATATGGGAGTATGCTGAGCAGCATCAGAGCTGTTTGTCTGAAAGTATTTAGAATATATATTTACTTAGCAACACTTTAAATTTTGCTTTCAGAGCACACAGTCGCAGGCTTGCTCTTTTCTCAGCTCTCAGATGTGCTGGCGATTCAGACAAGTTGTGTCTGTGAGCCTTAGGAAAGTAAGAGCAGTCTTAAAAGTACAAAAACAAAAAAAACCCCCTGCTTTCCAGGAAAAATAAATGAAATAAAAACAAATTTTGGAAAAGCACTGACTAAAATAGAATTAATTTATAGATCCCTTGTTGCCACTTGCTAAACCATTAAAGGTTTTTTTAGAAGCTAGCGCCACCAAGTGGAATAAACAGTGTACTGCTTTTTTTTAAAATAACTTTATACCCTTTATAGGGCTTGGTTAAAGCCTTTTTTGTTATAGTGGTTTTAATTCTGTTTGAATATCAAAGAAGAACAAAGATTAAGCACTTTTAAGAAAAAAGCAGTCATGGAGGTCAGAAAAAATGTTTACATCTGCCTTTTGGAACAGTGAATTTCAAAGTCACAGGAAGTTGCTGCAGCATGCAGAAGTGTTTTGAAACATCTGTATTGCGAGGAATGACAATAGGATCAACACGCTGGTGTTGCGTAGATTTAGCACAAGTAAGCTATGCAATTCTAACTTGTTTCTGTTGTGTACAGTTGTGCTATTTTTGGATTTATTTTTACCGTATTAAGAATCCTTCCTGTGCATTTTCTATAGATTCTTAATTTGCTACACCTGTAACTATATTTTTGTTTTAGCAATGTAAAGAAGTGGCGATTAATAACGTTAAATGTGTTAGGTGTGTGGCTTAGCTTTTTGTTCTCAAAGCTGTTGACTTGTATGATGAGGCTTTTAGGGGTCCCATGTGACTCTTCTGCTTTTAATTCTTACGAAGAACTTACCAAAGACTTTAGATGTTGTTTTCCAAGTAGATGAGTTTTCAGAACTTATTTAAAATATTTTGTTTTCTTAATTTTACTTTTCATTTACTGACTCTAAACCAGTTTAGTTCTGTGACAGGTATTGTGTTTAAGTACATCAATAATTCTGAAAACTAGAGAAGTAGCATAAAGGCCATATAAATGTATCTTGTTTTAAAGTCTTATTTAGCTTCTAAGCGAAAAGTAAAGCCAGAAAAATTAAAAGGAAAAATCTTTTTTTTCATTGTTTCTGAATTGTGCTCTCAAAGTTGGAGGTTAGTAGATGGAGAGCTCATGTTATTCTTTGCATACCGTTTCTTATCCTAAACTAATACTTTTTTTAGGGCTGTCTGCCTGCCTTTACTCTGTCTATCGATCCTTCCCCCTTTGAGTTAGGTCGTTTTGTTGTCCTTTTGCATCAGGGTAAGCATTCAGGATGTAGGAATCAGCCTGGGAGACTGCCACAGGAACTAGGAGCAGCAGTCGCAGAAAGCCCATCCCCAGTCATCCACAGGCTGAGGCACGCTCAGTATTTGAAAAAAAAAGTCTCCAGACAAGTTTGGCGTTTGCAAATAAAGTATTTCAACCAGTTATAATGGTCGAAATACTCAATAGTCATGAGTGTGACAAAACAGCGATTGAAATAACTGGTTTTTAATTATGTCTTTTGAAATATGTGAATGACTATCTGAAATATTTACAAAATTGTATATTTTGACTTGAACGTATTTGGCAAGTGGCGAAGATGGAAATTTTAGTTCAAGCAATTTGGCAAAGTCTAAGAACCTAAACAGTCTTATGGGTGGTGTTAGACAACATTAAAAGATGGGGAATCTAACTCTGCCAGTAACAGCTGCAATCACTTGGGAAAGCAGTGGGTCCTGCCTCTGTAGGCGCAACAGTAATATATTTTCAATCCTTTTTCTGGCAGTGGTCCAAATCGTGGACATTATATCACCATTGTGAAGAGCCATGGCTTTTGGTTGCTGTTTGATGATGACATTGTAGAGGTAGGTATGCTTTTCCATAGTGAAAACGGTGTAGACAGCATCACTCTCCAGCTCCATGGCTGGCAAACCAACCTGAAGGCTGTATTGACAGCTAAGACCTAGGCTGATGTGCGGCTGTTCAGTCTGAAATACTGCACGGACTTTGAGCGTATCAAATCTTTACATTTCTGCCTACCTCTAGGCGTCTTTGTGACAGTTGTATTTCATTGCTACATTAAGTTTTTTTAAACTTTTATGTAGAC